GAATCTCAGAAATGTTCGATCGCTTGGTGCGATCTCGAACTGTAGGAATGCTTTTTCGATATCGGCCGTGATGGCGAATCGGCATTCGCGGAAGGCGCAGAGGATTTTCGGGATCAAGGGTAGCAGATTATCCCCCTGATGGAGGCAGTCATTGAGGGCTGCCTCGTGACTCCTCCGAGCTCCTGCGTCCTTTACCACTCTTGTTTTGATGATCTTGTTACCATCCTGATCGGTCTTGAAAACTGCCTGAAGTGGTAGGTAGTGCCGCCGCTGATTCGGCTTCGGTGGAGGAGTTTCCTCCGCGAAACCATTCTTGAGATATTCGGAAATCTCGCTGTCGACGGCTTGAAGCTTCTCCGGAGATTTCCTCAGCTTCTTCAGGAACGATAATAAACGGGAGCACGCCAGGTTTTCATTGTCACCCAGCGCGTCCAAATTGTCTTTGAATGGTAGGCTCAATCTGAGGCGGCCGTCAGGGCGGCGCTCAATTGTCCTTTCGAAGAAGTTGTTTAGCTCGTCGCTCAGTGAGTCGGTTTCCTGTGTTTCAGCGGTGTCCACTCCGAGGAACTCGCCCTCCCATAGGAATTTGAGATCGTCATCTATGGAGGCGTCTCTCATTTTCCCTGATTGACGTGGCTCGATCCTCGAACTGAGCTCGGTTGGGGTTGTATTCCCCTCGCTGAGAGCTACCATCGTGGGTAGGCTGGCTCGCATTTCACATAGCAAGGCTGCCGTGTGAGTTGGAGAGCGAGTCTCGCTAGATGAACCATTGAAAATCCATCCCCAAATGGAGGATGTCGCTAACATCCCTCCGAAGGTTTTCATGCGGTTGGTGTAGATTTTCGCTAGATCTGCTGAGCCGATGATCATTGAGATTGAGCGTGGGGATTCCGGATCCTTCATCTCGTCGGCTACCGGAAGCAGCCCGAATGTCTTGCGAATCTCTGGGAACGTCGAGTCCGTGATCGATGGAGCTTCTATGCACTCCAGAGTCACCGAGCTCTGTGGATCGTGCTGGCTCGTGATTGTGATCTTGTGAAGCCAGGTGTCCAGCGTTGTCACTACGTTCCCCATTGTTTTCATCAGAGTCTTGACTTCCGCCGTGGGAGTCGACTTGATGAGATTAACTGCGCTGGACACGATGTACGATCTGTGGGCGCCTGAATCTAGGAGAACGCGGACTTGAGTCCGTTTCTTGCCTGCATCGATCCATACGATAGCCATCGGCAGAAATATGTCCGGTTCTGCGATGTCTGGCGTGCCCGAGACCGTCGTATTCACCGTCGTCGTCGAAGTCGGTAACTTCGCCGACGCTGTACGTGGTGTCGTACTTGTGGTCGACCTTGTTTGCACCGTCGTGATAAGGAATGATGAAGAGTCCAGCCTGGACTTCTTGCACATTATCATGTAGTGTTTGCCCTTGCATTGTCTGCAATTCTCCTTTGGACCGTCACGGCAATTCTTTGACGAATGATTTCGCTTGAGACATACCCAACAGGCATTCTGCTCCTTGATGCGTTCACACCGCTCTTCGTACGTGAGGGTGGCTCTGCATCTGAAGCTCTGGTGGTCGTCTCCGCAGAAGATGCATGATCTATCTACGTTCGAGCGAGGCTGACCTGGGGTCGAGTTGTTTCTCTGTTGGTTGCTCGCGAAAAAGTTGTGTGATGTCCTTGGCTGATGTCGCTGAAAATTGCGAGGTTTCGGCGGGTGGGGTTTCGGTGGTTGAAACTGGAACCTTCCCTGATCTCGGAAGGACTGAGCGGGAGATGCGTCGAGTTCCGCTTCCCTCCGAACCTTCGTTGTGTAGCTCAGGAATTCGAGCATGAATTCGAGGTCCGTCGTTAACGGATCCGTGAGCTTCTTCTTTTCCAACTTCCTGATGAATTTTTCCCTCAGATCTGTTGGTAGACACCGCAGGATTCGCTGGATCATCGCTGTCGACAGTTCGGTATATGAGCTGCCGAGTGCGAGTAGTGCTCTGACATTGAGTCCGAGGGTCTCCGAGAACGATTCGACCTTGTTGTTCTGGACAGTACCCCTCTCTAAGAGTTTGTCTATTTCTCGGATATGAGACTTCTCTGCTAGTCTGGAATCGCCGAAGCGCTCCTGGATGATCTGCTTCGCCAACGGATAGTGGCTTTCTTCCCATTGGAGGTGGGCAATCGCGTCGAGGGCTTTTCCCGTGAGAGAGTGCCTGAGCAGATTGTATTTCTCCATGGTGGGAGCCGGTGTTTCGTCGACGAAGACTCTGAAGAGCTGTTGCCATTCGCGAAACTTCCTCGTGTCTCCATTGAAGCGAGGGACTTCACGAGCCCTTCGGCCGAGAGAATAGCGTTCCTCTTGGAGTCGCGCTGGTTTCCTGCTGTCCGGGCAAGTGAAAGTTTCTCCTGCTCGGAAGTCGTTCTCGAACTCCATCGGATCTGCCGTTGCCCCCGCAGATGACCGAATCGGTAACTCGGTTCGTCTTTGGTCGCTGTTGGCGGTCGTCTGGGATACCGTTGAGAATCCGAGCGGTGTTCGCACCGGATTCTCTGGTGGGAAGTACACGTTTCGTGTCGGAGGGGGCTGTGGGGGTGCCCTCCGGGCTTGCTGCACCAAGCTTCGGGTGTCGACGAAACTGTGTTTGAACCTCACCGAGTCTTCCTCTTCCTTCTCTTGCCCTATTGGGGTGCTCTGGAGAGGTTGGTCCCGTTGGACGTGCTGACCGGCTGATTCCACCGATTCTGATCTCGATCGGGCTTCCGGTTCGGACACGAAATTGATCCAATCTCGCATGTCGTCCAGGTAACCGTACGCGTCCGCCACGAGCATAGCGTAGTGGATCGTTCGGTCCAGCAGCGACTCTTTGTCGATCGCCAACCGTGTTCTTAGGGAGTCAATCTCTTTCGTGAGCTCGATTGATTCTGTTTCCACCGTCTCCAGTATCTTGCGGAGGGCCTCGACTGTTCTGGAGAGTCTCGCTGGAGAAATGTTAGGATCGATATTGCGAATCTCCTCGCCGATGGTTTCCAATCGTTTGTATATGATTGCGCGCGCATTTTCTCTCATTTTGAGTTGTGCTGCTGTCCCAACGTTGTCTTGCGGAGATTCCTTGAGCACTTTCGGGATGACCGCTGGTGCTTCTCCTCCTTGGTTCTGCCATGAGGGGCCCGGGAGCTGACTGTCCTCGGGGCACTCGCCTTCTGCTGGCATGTTGACTCAGCCTTGTCGATAACAGGGCGAGCGACGCACTTAATGTGTAACTGAAACACCGGCGTGAATGAAATCGGGTATTTCGACGATTGGAGGCGATTCGTATGGTCGAATCGGTTCCGTCGGTGATGATAATGATTCAGTAGGTCCGTCGGTAACGGACCACTGGAGAGATCGTCGGATTCGAAGATTCTGTCGCCAAATATTAGTCGGGGAGGGGATCACGGGGGATTTCGACCGGACGTAATATTATGTGCTGGAGATGCTTCTGAGTCGATACTCTGACCTGACGGATCTTTAGGCCTCGCGGCGTGACGCGTGGGCTTCGTTTCGTAGACTTCTGACACCAAAATGTCGCAAACACTCGGTCGGTTAGTCGAAGAGGTGGTTGAAACCTCTTCCACGGTCACCTCGCGAGTCTGCGAGCTAGCTTGAATTTAATGGACCTGGAAGTGGCCTAACGTGATAGACTACTCTCGATGGTGGATTCTTACTGACTGTTGTTTATTTCTCTCTCCCTCTTAAATACGTGCATGTCTTGGAGCTGTGAATGCTCTTTAGGGCGGGATCGGATAGTCGGTAACGTCGGCCTCTAAACCACATACAGATTTTGGGGGTTCCGTTACACCATACGAGAGTTCGTATGTGACAAGCACCATGTCTGGAAGGCGACATGCCGTTTCTTCTAGCCTCACGCGAAGATGGCATAGATAAGTGGAATGGGAGTCTAGCTCAGATAAGCTAAGCGAGTCAGCCTGGTTCACTCTCAGAAGCCAGAATTACGAAAGCCAGAATTGTGAAAGCCAGAATTTCGAAAGCCAGAATTCGCGAAAGCCAGAATTGTGAAAGCCAGAATTGTGAAAGCCAGAATTGTGAAAGCCAGAATTCTCGAAAGCCAGAAATCCTGAAAGCCAGAATTGTGAAAGCCAGAATTGTGGAAGCCAGAATTGCGAAAGCCAGAATTGCGAAAGCCAGAATGGCGGGAGCCTGAATTTCATGGGCTCGGAATTGAGAAAGCCAGAATGACAATGAGCCTGGTCGGCGTTACCGGAAACTTAGATGTCTGAGTTTGGGTCAGAGGCCAATATCTTCCGGCTTGAATCCGGGAATGTCGTAAGCGAAAGAAAAAAACGGTTAAATCTGGGAGGGCAGAAAGCGAAGTAACTCGTCTGCTTATTATTATTCTTAGGATCGAGATATGGTCCTCCGTCCGTCACAATTACTGGGGACCGTCATTTCCGGAGGTCGGGATCGCGTCAGTTGTTGTTTAAGTTATAACCGACGCTGTGAATGTATTCGATCAGCGTTTTCACACCCGTCTCCAATTCTCCTGTAAGTCGGATCAACCGATCGTTCAAAACTTTGTACTTCGTGGAGAGCTTCGGTGGGGGTTGCCCAGCTCGGAGCAAGAGTCTGTCGGCTTCCCCCTTGTCTTCTTGTTTCTTCAAGAAGTTGATGAGCTCGAAAATGTTGACGTGGTCTTTTCGAACCGTGCGACTCAAGGCGCTATGCCAGGCTTCGACATGGTTGGTCGTACGGGCGCCGAAATTCCCGAAGTGGTTCCACATACTACGTGGAAACACATCGGGATTCTCGAGCCAAGTCTGGATGAAGTAGTCTTTGAAAGTTTCTACTCTTTCGTACGCAGGATGATCAGTCGGCGGGGAATCCGCGTCGATGGCTAACCATGCGTCATCCATTCTGTCCAGAGGCACCAGACTCAACGCTGAGCACGAACGGATGAGTCTCTTCACCAAGGGATCGGAGTAGTAGGGCACGAGACCGGATGCTTGCACTTTCCTCCACAGACATTGATTGTAGTGGAAGTTGCATCCTTTTATCCCTGACAACGGGAACTCGTGCTGAATGGCGCGAAGAGCTGCGACCTCGAAGTCTAGCTGGAAAATCGCGGAGCGAAATCAGGCCGTTCGAAGCGGCGTAATCCTTGAGAAGCCGGAACATCCTGCAGTAGGTGTCTTCGATTTATCGGGGAAGGAGGAAAAACACCATCGGAAACATCTGCCCTTTATAGAAGCAGTGTAATGTGTACAGTTGCGTGAACAACTGTGGGACTACCTTGAAGGTACCGTCCATAAACACGGTCCCTGACTCGCAGAGGAGGCTCGTCATGGTCAGCGTACCGAACCCGATGATCTTGTCATCAGACCCGTCATCGAAGAGGACAAAATCTTCACCACGATTCGTCTTCGAGTAGTCTCCCTCGATTACTATCTCCTCTCTGGTCTGCGGCAAGACCGGTACGAGTTTCGCGCGAGCGCGATACAAGGCGGCTCTCGCGGACTCGTAACTAGGCAAGGATGCACCGATCTCTTAGTCCTCGTAGGATTCTTGCAGGTTTCGCACTGCTACGGCCAGTGTTTCGGAATAAATCCTTTTGACACCTCGCTCTTCCTGCGTCAGAACCGCGTCTTTCATTTCAGCACAGGCCTGTCGGCGGATAAACTGTCCGTTGTCCGGCGGGTGCGTATGAGTTCCGTTGAGCTTCTTCACAATGAGCTCTGGCGATCTGACGAGAATGATCCTCGCGGGGCACTTTTCCCTCCTCTGCTTCACGCAACGGCAGTACAAGGTTTCAGCGATCGACTTCTCCACTTCGTATAGGTAATGATCGACGAAGTACTGGGTTTTACCCTTCGCGGAGTTGACCTCTTGAATAGCCATGTCAACTGGAGAACTTTCAAGAGATGGGGATTGCCGAATCGGATTTGGAGCGGGATTTCGCGAGCAGAGATTTGGAGCGGGATATCGCGAGCAGAGATCTGGAGAGCTACTATGACGATAGACCACCGAACAAAACAAACGAAGCTCGGGGAATCTGACTTGGAGCTCTGACGTGCTGTCACGTCTACCCATATTTTGCGAGCCGTGTGCCCAAGTGATACTTCTGAGATACCCAATCTCTTCGAGCCTACCCTGAGGAGAAAATCCTAATCGATGAGTCGCGGTTCCTCCGAATGGACTCGTGAGGTGTCGTGAGGGCTGGACAAATCTTTTGGAGACAGAAAACACCCAGCTCACGAACAAACCTTTATTTTCGGCGTCTCACAGCGGTACAAGCACTCCAACCCGATCTTCTGATCATTATATCTGCAATTTTGGCGAAGTTTCGAAGCACACCTCTTAGCTCAAACTTTCTCTAAGCAGCACAGAAGACTGTTGTGATCAGCTGCAGCGATGAGCCTCCGTCCAATGTATCGGTTTTGTCTCCTTCAAGATCCC